AATAAACTAGGAGCGTCAGGAGTGAAGCTGCTCTCTGATGGACTGAAGGATCCTTGCTGTAAACTGGAGAAACTCTGGTAAGATTATATAAACATCCTCTCCCGTTTTCTTTCTATGATCAATAATGAACAAAATAAACACAAAAACTAAATAAAAATCTAAAAAGTTTGTGTTGATGATTTTGTTTAATCTTTGTTCAAAAGATTTTGACAATTTTATTATGTAAGCATTGTTCTAAATTTATGCAAAATATATGCACACGTGTGAATTGCCTTGGGTGTGTGTGTGTGTGTGTGTGTGTGTGTGTATATATTTTGAATCTTTCCTGGTCCCTCATACTCTTTAGCAAATCAGATGTCAGCTTATCATTCAACCAATCATAACCCGCTGAGAGTACAGGACTCAAGGAGCACAGCTTTGTGCACCATATACGCAATATGACTAAACGCCTTCTCTTGCAGACTCTATTTTGGCAGAGAGGTACATAAATCACTTACTCAATCTGCTCCATTCTTAATTGGACCTAAGGCCCATAAATAAATGACATACCCAAAATAAAAAGATTGCTGCTCACGAGTCATTCTGACTAGACACATAGCCAACATAGTTGCTTTAGTTTCCCCCAGATTTATATTGCTCATGAGAAACACATAACTATGTTCCTCAGGCTATACAGTATGTTCTAATCACTCAAAGTTTCAATTATCATATGATCATAAGGATAACTAAGCCAACTGCACTGAATATCTACATCAACTTTCCAAATTATTTAATTTCAGTCTTCCATAATGTACCTTCTCAACATCAAGTGAATTAATAAATGTGTTAACAGACCATTACACTGGAGAGCATGAATCCTGGGAACATAGGACCCCTTTTTATGTGTTGATTACATGCATATAAATCTGCTGAAAACACAAGAAGCCACTAATGTTCATCAGATTGCATAAAATAATAGTGATGATTCTGTCTACAGAAATATATGAAGTAAATGTTTAAATACATAATTACATATTGGAATGTTTCCAAATGTGCACACTTTTGGACTAAAAGTTCTAAAGGATGCTGTTTAGTGAAGATCTGGGATTGCAAGTAAACCGGAGCAGACATGACTGAATATTAATGTGTGGTTATTCTGTTCAAAATATCAAATATCATCAATGGTTGCTTTTGTACAGAGTGAATGTTGACAACAATAATCTGAGGCTGTTGATGATCTTTGCAGTTTAATTAGAACTGAAATTAAGACTTTACATTATCATTCAAGCATAGGCGGAAATCCCGGGGGGGTCAGGGGGGACAGGGCCCGCCCATCTGAGGGTTTTCCCCCCTAAAAATATGATTAAAAACCACGCTGTGTAAATAACAATGTTTTATACTTTAAATAACTTTGTAAGTAAAACAATGCAAATGGGGCAAAAATGCATTTTAAGTTTAGAAACATTTTGAGTCTCCCCCTCCCTTGCCTCGCAGTGCTTTGGTCCAAATGCCTGCTTTCCTCTTTTACATCACCTACACACACGCACACGCACACACACACACACACACACAAGTCCGGTCAATAGTTGTGGAACTCGGCTATAAAGGCTATTTTATTTTTCCTTTAATACAGATGATGCCAGTGTATTTTTCGATGAGTCCGCTATGATTGTAATAATATTACCTGCTTGACGGATAGTAATGTCTACAACGGACACGACCGCACTAAGGCTTTCCTCTGTGTATATTTGTTCTTACAAGTACAATTTGTAATAATTTTACTTAGTTGTAAGGGAATTAATCATTATTAATTCATTCAGGTTTATTTCTAGCTCAGGTTTTAAAAGAACTCGATCTGAGAATTCGAGGTCCACCTGATCAAAACTGACTTTGACTTTCAATAGTTTATACTTTTATCAGCTACTCGGCCAGCGAGAAGTTGATGTCAGTGTATATTACCAATTGAATATGTAAATTTTGTATTCTCCCTGGCCACGGGTGAAATACAGTTATGATGATTTGTCAGCTCTTGAAAGAGAGGTAATTATTATGCGTAAGCTACGAGCTAAGGTAACAAGCAAGGATCGTTTGGCAATAGAATTGTTTTACCTGTATTATTGTGTCCCCTTCAAAAATTGCTCTTGAGAAATTTTATGTTTACTGTCCCCCCCTACTGATAGATGAAATTTATGCCCCTGCATTCAAGCATGGTGAATGAACACTGGGATATCAAGTGAAGTAAAATGTTTGTGGATCTGTGACTTATAACACATTATGAGGACATTGATTGGCTTCTTTTCTGTTTGAAGTCATTCATCATGAGTCTAGCGCTCTGAGCAGGTTATGATTGGTTGAATGGTAAGCTCGCATCTAATTTGCTAAAGAGTACGATGGACCCACACGGGAGTAGAGAGACCAAAGAAGTTTGTGGATCTGTGACCTATAACACATTATGAGGACATTGATTGGCTTCTTTTCTGTTTGAAGTCATTCATCATGAGTCTAGCGCTCTGAGCAGGTTATGATTGGTTGAATGGTAAGCTCGCATCTAATTTGCTAAAGAGTACGATGGACCCACACGGGAGTAGAGTGCTGGCAGGAAAGTCTCAAAATACACACACACACACACACACACACACACACACACGGACAAACAAACAATTCACACACAAACAACATGACAGTGCTATTAATACTGTAGTCCTCTGATTTCATTTTTATATAAACTGATGACTGAAATGCAAAATAGCATGTGATGCATTTGTATAGAACTGATGAAGGAAAGGATCAGTGAAGGGAAGGAAGAGGAGTGAAGGAAGGGACAGGATAGAAAGAAGTTTTCCTGCAGTTTCCTCCCGTTTCTCAGAAGATTAAAGAAGCCTGTCTGAGGTTCTCCCAGCCTTACAGTGGTCTGCTATATAGTGTTGCTATTGACAACGGTCATTATCAGGAAATAGCAATGTTGTGACTGACCAATCAGAATCCAGTATTCCTGAGCGCTGTGTAATAAATGATTTTAATATATGATGTGGAGGCAAAGAACCAGTCAATGTGAAGAGAGATATTGTGCGTGTGTGAATTACCTGCATCTGTGCAGCTTCTCTCGAATAATAGTGAAGCTTTGAATATAACTGCACCAGAACACATCAGTGATTTTTTTAGAGTGTTGTGTTTGAAAATGTTTACCGGTATCAAAGTGCAACACAATAAAAATAATAATGTCTAAAAACACTGCTCTCAGCACAGAGGGATTGCACAAACTTATAAATATAGTGCTATATACTATAGTGGTTATACTACGGTACTAAATTTGAATTTATTTATATCCTTTAACCAGATTTGTCTATTTTTAACTTTCACTTACTGCATTAATTAAAAAATAGAACAAAATGTGTTTTTTAATGTATTAATTTATCTAGAAATAAATAGTGTATGATTAAAAAATGAATATTGTTTAACACCATAAATTATCCTCAACACAAAAAACACCAAAGAATAAATATTATTGTATGTAGTACATTAATTTCATACCAAAAACAACATTTATTAAAAAATGACAGCGTTAAGTGGGTAAATATTAGAGGATTATTTTATTCATTTTAATGTGTGCACTTCCTCATGCCAGCTGGACGGCATTCCCTCACCATGGCCACATCGTTCAAGTACAAAATCCAGTTGTAGCTTCACATCCTCAATGTGTGACTCACATGAATCACAAAGGAGTATTTTAAAATAAGCGCCTACAATTAAAAAATGAAAATCAAATTCAAACCAAAATAGCTGATTTCCTGTTGATTGGAAGGCGATAAAGAGCCCTTGCTCAACGGCAATAGTTTAGGCTTTGCCAATGTTTAGAGGCTGACAACTAGAGATTCGTGAACTTTTAAGCATGCTAAGAGCCTCAAAAACACATGAAAAGAGTATTAAGGTTTGATATGTTTGACATGACAGGTTTAACAAAATCAGCCATGTCTTGACGTCATTCTGACCAAGTTTGAAGAGTTCTGGGTGAACAAAAGAGGATGATTTCAAAGCATTTTATAAGTGACGCTTAAAGGGATAGTTTACACAAAAATGACAATTCTGTCATCATTTACTCACTGTGTGTGTGAGTTTCTTCATGAAACATTGATTTAAATGGTAATTATCTTAAGTAAGCTCATAAAGTATATGAAATAAAACTAGCACAGCTGTATAAGAAATCTGTAGCCAGGGACAACAGTAATAAAAATAATACACATTATAATCATTATCCATAACAGTTAATGATTCATATCTTATAGCATTTTTTCAGTGTGTTTTTATATCTTATACAGATGAGAGAAAAAAACACCCCTTTAATATAAAGTTTCCAAGGCTTTAGACTGGATCTGTTAATCGTGAAGTTGCTGCTGATCTGAGCTGTAGATCCTGAACTGAGAGACTGAAGAGTGTCATTGTTCTCTACAGGTTGAGTTATTGTGGAGTCACAGATGAAGGTTGTGCTGCTCTGGCTTCAGCTCTGAGATCAAACCCCTCACACCTGAGAGAACTGAGTCTGTCTGGAAATAAACTAGGAGCGTCAGGAGTGAAGCGGCTCTCTGATCTACTGAAGGATCCTCGCTGTAAACTGGAGAAACTCTGGTAAGATGATATAAATCTGTCAGCATCCTCCTACATTTTGCTCCTTTGTTGATTATGAACAAAATGAAAACCAAAACTGTGTCATAAAGAAAGTGTTCTGTCAGTTAATAGAAAAGGATGCTGTTTTAATCTTCATTTCATTCTTTCCAAAGTGTTTGACACAATTGTAAAATACTATAAGATATTATAGGTTGAGTGGATGATCTAAAAACAGCTGCTTTATATCATACAGATGTGTGTTGATGATTTGGGGTATTTACAAAAGAATGAAACAGTTCTGACATGTTCTATGATATTGAAACTAACCTCCTCAAAACACATGTAGAAGCAGGTCTGAACTGAGAGATGTTGCTGTGTTTGGCTGAGCACCCATTGAGTAGCTCGCCAGTGTGTTAGATTTCTCCATTACATAAAATACATACGTTTGACCAAAGTTTTGTTGGCAAAATAATGTATTGGTTAATTTAAAGTAGGATTGTAGCACAGTTCTTCAGTGGTGATGTTAACTTTCAGTCTTCAAAGAATCTTAAATCTTTCTAAAACGTGGTTTATACATCTGTAAATTGTCTTGGTGCCAGCAGAAGTGCACATTGACATTGCTAGACCGCTTTTCTCGTGTACATCACATTTTTTATAATTAGAGCGAACAGTGCAACTTAAAGGCAACATTGACTGCAAAGATGTGGAAAGAACCTCTATTTAAGCGTTTCAAAGAATATTGTAGGCTATATGGATTCATCCACATTCACTTCACGATTTCAGAAGTTTATGAGACTAACTTTCATTTTTTTTTTTGTGTTTTTTTTTTTTTTTGAGTTTTTTGTAAATGATGAATGAAACTATTTTAAATATACTGCATACATATTTACGGTGACGCATTGCTGCCGCACACATGTTATTTTTTCCACTCAATTATGTCGTTTTAACGACATCTTTTCTCGTAATAACGAGATGTTTTCTCGTTATTATAGATAGGCTGGATGGTACATTATGTGAGCGAGCTAAGCACTGCACGCGCTGCTGTAGCTACAGTCTGACAGAAACCAGGATCTGTCAGATCAGTGTAGGCAGTAAAGACAGGCTGAGAGAAAGGACAAATAGCAAGCTCATTTTTTAACCCACGAAAAAAAATACAAAAAAATCTAATTTTCGTTTGCCAAACAGAACGTTTTTTTCGTATTTCGATTTGTTGTTAAATCAAACTTCAGTCATTCAAATAAAGAAATATTAAGCCCAGTTTTGATCTGATCATAGCCTAAAGGAGTCATGGGTCAGTGCAGTTATTGGATAGCACTATATTGTAGACAGATTGGAGATTAATCCTAACCAGGATCTGTCAGATCAGTGTAGGCAGTAAAGACAGGCTGAGAGAAAGGACAAATAGCAAGCTCATTTTTTAACCCACGAACAAAAAATACAAAAAAATCTAATTTTCGTTTGCCAAACAGAACAAAATAATAATAATAATAATAATTATAATTATCATTATTATTAGCCTATTAGAAAATCTCTTTATTTCTTTTTTCGTATTTCGATTTGTTGATAACATACTTCAGTCATTCAAATAAAGAAATATGAAGCCCAGTTTTGATCTGATCATAGCCTAAAGGAGTCATGGGTCAGTGCAGTTATTGGATAGCACTATATTGTAGACAGATTGGAGATTAATCCTAATAAACATGCCGCTGCAATTAAAACCATTACATTAAAATACATTTAAAAGAGTGTATTTCAATCATTTCAGCAGCGTGCAGATCCTGGTTTCTGTCAGACTGTAGCTACAGCAGCGCGTGCAGTGCTTAGCTCGCTCACATAATCTACCATCCAGCCTATCTATAATAACGAGAAAACATCTAGTTAAAACGAGAAAAGATGTCGTTTTAACGAGAAAAGATGACGTTTTAACGAGAAAAGATGTCGTTTTAACGACATAATTGATTGGAAAAAATAATATGTGTGCGGCAGCAATGCGTCACCGTACATATTATACAAGTACACATAAGCTGGTAAAAAAAGCACTTTTAATTCATAAGTATTTGTCTATTGCTGAGTAAAACAAAACATTTTTAAATAAAAAAACAAGTATTTGTATAGTAATATTAATTAACCTATGAACATTGCAAGAGAAAATAAAATTGCCTGAAATTCAGGTCCTTTATGTAGTATTTATATAATAAATGTGTACAGATTGTCAGTGAATTAAACAGAAATAAATATTATATACAACAATTATGTTACTTAACGTTATATTCTTTAAACTTTAAGAGGCTGATGAAATATTGTTGAATGGTCATACTCTGTTGTTTGTTGGGTGAACAGGCAAACTAACAAAAATGTAAAGAAAGAGTGTATATTTCTTAAATTTTGAAATGGTGAGAAGTAATGTAATAAGAGCTGCATACTTACTGTAGTCCTTGTCTTGAGTTGTAACTGAGTCGTCTTTTAATTAAACCTTAATTAAGCATCCTCGTTTAATTAAATATCCTGAATAGAAAATGTGTAATTTAATGTTGACTATATGATTCACCAAACCACTACTAAATGTCATTTCAGAGAATAGTACAATAGTAAGACTATAAATGCACACGCAGTCAGCAAGTCACAACAGTGCTGTGCAGGAGAAAGCACAGCTAACCAAGGCATATGAATATTAATGATGAAGATAAATGAGTTACAAACAATAGATAGACCTTCCACTGGAGATCCATGTGGACAAACGAGATTTACCAGGAACTTCCTGAAGAACGCTGTTCCTTTATTATTCTCACTGTATGACCATTTAGTTCCCACATTTACAGACACAGATCTTCTGTGAGCCTTGTGTTCTGATTTCATATAGACCCAGTTCTCTTATTTCATCACTCTACATCACTTTAGCAGGAGCGCGAGTGTGATGCTCGAATATGATTGAATAAATGAGTCTACTTACGAGTGAGCGGGGAAGGAAGTGAATGGATGAGATATCATTCGTAGTCTGTGTTTTTTCTCAACATAATAAAGTTTGAATGCATTTAAATGTGAAGTGAAAACAGGACCACAGTTTCAGTTGATTGCATCTGAGACACAATCACAATTCAGTGCATCTGACTAACAATAACTGAGATTTCACATCATCTTTCAGCAGCTAAATCCTGGTTTATACTTATTATGGTTTACAAAGAGACCATTTTTCTTGTGCATATGGTTCTCTCCCAGTAAAATGATCAACTGTACTGTATATTATACTTTTATAGTTTGTTGTTTATATAATAGATTATTAATTATTTTAGCATATATAGTATCTTTATTTTAATTATTTTTTTGTCTTTAACATAAAAGATACATGAAAGTTGCCAAGGCTTTAGACTGGATCTGTTAATCGTGAAGTTTCTGTAGATCCTGAACTGAGAGACTGAAGAGTGTCATTGTTCTCTACAGGTTGAGTTATTGTGGAGTCACAGATGAAGGTTGTGCTGATTAGTATTAGGTATTACGTAAAAGTCATTATTGTTTTTATTGCTAATTATTAAACATTGCAAACTTTCTGGAGTGACAACCGTATTTAAATCATATTTAAATTTTAAATCTGAATCAGAAATTGTGATGATTGCCACAGTGATAACATAGCAATGGATGGGACAAATAATAATAATAATAATAATAATAATATCTGATGTCAATAGATCTCGGAGTGTAAATGCTGATTAATATACTTATCATTTGTTCTGTATGAGTTTTCATTTGACCTTTTTAAAACAATGTTACTTAAGTGAAACATATTTGAAGGCTACATACTGTTTTAAAGTATTAATTAATTATTATTAGCTTAATTATATTGATTTAATGTACTTAATATTTTTATTTTCACATATGGTATTGGTGAACAACTAAAATGTTGGTACCGTGACAAGATTAATTTGTAGTATTATGAGAGTCAGATTGTGATTTCAAAATTGTGAATTGAACCTTTAATAGTTACACCCTTAATATTTTTTCCCCCATTATGAAATATACATAAAATACATTTTTCAAACATCATATGAGGTTTTTCAAACATCAACCAACGCTGATATCACTGGGTTTATTGGCCAAAAGTATGTAAAGCAGGGAAAATCCCTGCATGTCCCAAGGAAAAGCAGAGTAGAAATGGACTGTGTTCTAGTTAATTCATAGAAAAACCGTTATTTGAATGAACACACATATTAACCGTATTTAAATCATATTTAAATTTTAAATCTGAATCAGAAATTGTGATGATTGCCACAGTGATAACATAGCAATGGATGGGACAAATAATAATAATAATAATAATAATAATATCTGATGTCAATAGATCTCGGAGTGTAAATGCTGATTAATATACTTATCATTTGTTCTGTATGAGTTTTCATTTGACCTTTTTAAAACAATGTTACTTAAGTGAAACATATTTGAAGGCTACATACTGTTTTAAAGTATTAATTAATTATTATTAGCTTAATTATATTGATTTAATGTACTTAATATTTTTATTTTCACATATGTTATTGGTGGACAACTAAAATGTTGGTACCGTGACAAGATTAATTTGTAGTATTATGAGAGTCAGATTGTGATTTCAAAATTGTGAATTGAACCTTTAATAGTTACACCCTTAATATTTTTTCCCCCATTATGAAATATACATAAAATACATTTTTCAAACATCATATGAGGTTTTTCAAACATCAACCAACGCTGATATCACTGGGTTTATTGGCCAAAAGTATGTA